AAAAAAAGTTAAACAGCTGGCAAACGAGAAACAAAAAGCGTAAATTAGATACAGAAATACGAAATCCCCAGAAGAGCACGAGGAATACAGAAGATTAAGAAATTAAGTTAATCAAGACATCAAAGAACTGAAGGAAAAATACTGGGAGAACTTCTCAACGGGTATGCAGCATGACTTATATGGAGGACAAAAGAAGATGTGGAAAATGTTGAAAGAAGATGTGAAAACAAGTAAACAATATCAGCCCAGAAGAATGGGTCGCATACTTTCAAGAAACATACAACAAGCAGTCGGAAACCGAGATAGTCCCAGAATATAACCGACACGACAGGAGTCAACCGATAAATACATCCCAAATAGAAGTAATGATAAAGGAAGTAACGAAAATCATAGGCAAACTGAAAAACGGAATAGGCCTAGATGTAGATGGCATCAGTAATGATATGATAAAATACGGAGGGGAGAATTCTGCTAAAGAATTAACAAAACTTTTTAATAAAATAATTCAAGAAGAAACGATCCCAGAAGAATGGCGTACCAGCATAACAATCCCAATATTTAAAAAGGGCGACAAAAAACAACCAAAGAACTATAGGGGAATAACCTTATTGAGCGTTGTTCTTAAAATCTTCACAAAAATATTGGCCCAAAGAATCGAACAAAAATTAGAAATATGCGAAGACCAGCAGGGTTTCCGCCAAAACAGATCCACCATAGACGCAATCTTTATATTGAGACAAATAGCAGAGAAAGGGATTGAATACGACAAGCCAGTATTTATGTGCATGGTTGACCTAAAACAAGCATTCTATAGAGTAAGGCTAACAGACATCGAAAATATTCTACACCTCCATGGCTTAGATAACATATATATCCGCATAATAAGAGATCTGAATAGAAACGGCAAAACGAGAATCAAAGTTAACCAGAAACTAACACAACAAGTACATTTAAAAACAGTAATACAGCAGGGTGACAGTTTAAGCCCCACACTTTTCAATATAATAATGAACAGTTAAAGATTGTCTGACTGAAGAAAGTAGATAGCAACTTTTCATCATTTCATAATATAGTTTAGGCGCAATTTATTCACTTGCAACTACAAATTGCAAAAAATTTATTTTTTAAATTGCATTATCTGGTTAACTACATTTTTTCAATGTATTAGTCCGTGAAAATGAATCCACTCTTGTATAATTTTTGTTTATAATTATTTTGCGATTTGTCTCTCCATCCTCGAGAATATATTGAAACCGATCCGACCAAGTTGGTTGGATCGCCGAAACACACGTCAGATTTCGTTGGGCCGACATAATCGGTCCGACGGCGTTGTGCGTGAGTGCCGGCCATAGATTAACTAAGTCCGACTAAGGCCGACTAGCTTGTTAGCAGACAAGATCGCACCGACTTTGTCGGATCGTCGAAACACACGTTTGATTTTCATCCGATTTTGTTCACCCGCAAAATCGGCCCGACGGCGTTGTACGTGAGTGCCGGGCTTAAGAATCCGGCTCAGAAATCGTGTCTATCCGCCAGACGTAGCAATTTATCAGTGTTGTTTTGACCGGTGCGTTATGGCTCCTTCAAGGCGTCAAAAATTGGGATTGCGCTTGCAGCGCTATTAGCAGATATGAATAGAAAGAAAATAAAATAATGGTCAAAACAATGGTTTTTGAAAAGAAGAGGATTTCGTCATTCCAATTTAATCAAGGAATTAGAATCCATAACATTTTCTTAACATTTTTTTGAAGAATTAATAATGACTTTTGAAGAACTGCTTAATATGGTGCGACGATTAACAGCAAAACAAGATGCCTACTTTAATGAGATTCGCCGCTACTGCAGAACAACTATTAAATGTAACTTTAAGGTGTCTAGCAACTGATAAAAGTTACGAGGACTTAAAATATAGTCCAGTAATATCCCCACAGTTATTTTCCAAAATAATTCCAGAAACGTGTTGGGCTATCTACAATAGTTTAAAACTAAAAAAAAAACATAAATTATAAATTAGCCTGCCTAAAATAAATGAACCTATTCACAAGCTACCAGAAACAGATAAATTGTATCCAAGTGTTCCACACACCACACGATTTGTAAGGAATTGGAAAGGGGAGCAGGGCGATTGTATTCTCGGATCGACCAACAGGCCGATATCGGAAAGTCGTTAAGAAATTGTCACAATCGCCCACACATGCCGCAATTTACAGGGCCTCTACAGATTGTACTCGCTAGATTGCCACGCGAGTAGGCCGCTTTATAATACCGGTCGAATTTCTTTCGCACGTGACGTCATACGGCTACATACGGACGCAGCCGGCGCCCCATGCGCATTGACATACCGTGATTAGCTGTATCGTGAATATACCACTACCACTAACTTTATAACTGCTTGTCCTTATTGGCCGTCTAATAACCCTCTATTCGTTTCAATTGTACAGAAAATTGCCGTTAACGGTGACTGGGTATTATTTTCTTGATGGTCACATTATGAAGACAATATAAATCTTGAATGAGTAACTCATCCAAGATCTAAGGGTGAAAATATGAGCCGCTATTCGCTCTCACGCCCTGCTTAGATATTCTAGGGACCTGAAAACAGCCCCTGAATATCGCCCAAAAGTCGCCTACGGCCTGCAAGTCAATATCACCTACTTTTATGGAGTAGGTACTTCTATGCAGTAATGCCAGACTAGGAAATTTTTCACTAGTTCTACGGATTTCTCAGGCAAAAAGAAAAGGAATTTTTTGTAATTTTTTGTTTATGTGCAAAAAAAATTAATTCTGGAAAGAAAATATTAATATATCGGACTACGAAAGGCTAACAAGTAGAGAGGAACCACAATTTGTTTTAAGAAATCTCAATTAATTAAGAATCTGCTTTAAGGTATTTTTAATTCCCCGGCAATAGTCTTTAATGCGATGCAAAAATCAATAAACCTGCAGTGAGTGTGACTTGCAACTGCCCCATCTACATATAAACTTTGTCAAATACTTATTTAAATTAAAGCTTGAATTTAAGATAAGAAGAATAGATAAATAAGAAGAATACAGATTGAAGCAAATCTAGGAAAAACTAGGATTTTTTAAGTGACCATGTGGGGATTTTAATTTAAATTTTACCGATCTGGCATCACTGCTTCTATGTGGTCAAGATACCTATGTGCCCCTGCATTGAAATTTTATTGGCAACACTGAAAGGCGCTAAAGTTAAGAAATTTGGACAGAAATATTAAACAAAATATATTTATTTAGTGGTTAGGTATTAAGTAAAATTTCTTCACAAATACTTAATAAAAGACGTATATGATTTCTCAAAACATTTATAATAATTATACTAAGAACTTCTAATACACTGTCGGTCTCAAAAAATTGACCATTTTGTCGCCATGCCGCAGAATCAAAAATTTAGTGGCAAAACGATTATTAAAATCCCCCAAACTGGCAACTCTGATAGAAATACCTAGACGGATAAAGCCCGTGTGCCATTCATCCGTTTATACGATGGTACCAGAGATGCCAGGTCTACCGATTTTTCGGTAGATCTACCGATTTGTCAAGGAACCTACCGATCTACCGATACCATGCAGATTTCTACCGAAAAGTAACAAATAAAAGTTTAAAACATTTCCGTGGATTACTTAAAATAATACAACATATTTCCGTTCATSATCAAAGTACGTTGGTAATAGCAGACATTTTATTTTACCACACCTCGTATTTTAGAGTTCTTTTTCAAACATAAAATGAATCAAGCCCGCCATATAGATCATAAATATGATAAAATTATGTTTCATGGATCCTGCAGTAGTGAAATCAGGTTGCCTACATACAATCTATTTCTGATGTTGCAATGATATTTCCAAATTTAATAAATGATAGTGAATTACAAGGTCTGGACACAGAATGACGTCTGTTGCAAAATGTTGAAGAAATTTAAAAAATTTCTGGAAATATTGAAGAGTTTTTAGTTAATTTTTTACTTTAGTATTCCTGTAAGATTAAAAATTCAAGTTTTGAAAAACGCGCGAGTTAATGGAGCCTTTTTTTCTTTTTGGTGAGGTTTTGGACCACCCAACAGCTCTAGGTGTGCGTAACAGAGCATTTCCAAAACGTCACCAGATGGAGCCCTTAATAATGAAAGAAACATGAATCTACCGATTTTCTACCGAAAAATGTCGAGCTTATCTAGCGAAACTCGATTTGCGGACCTGGCGATCCTGGATGGTACGAAAATGTTTCTATTGGTTGAAGATCAGTTCGTACGACGACGGACAAATTGACCCTTTCGTACCATCGTACCCTCGTATAAACGGATGCATGGGACACGGGCTTTAATTGAAATAATTTAACTTTAATTGAAAAAAAGTGTCAACACTCGCCACGAAATCAAATCAATAATTTTAATATAGCTAGTTTTATTTAAAAAAAAACCTATACCACCCCCGACCCCGCGAACTGAATGTTCAAAAAATGTCCACATTTTACTGCCCTTAAGTGGGCCCCATATACATTAATTTCAGTACTGGACGTCGCAAAGCTAGCTTTAATCCGCCCCTGTATGGAAAGGTTTAAATAAGGGATGGAAAGTTTCGCTAAATATCACACAAATTAAGTGCATAAAATAATCGCCTGATTTTAAAGGTGAGACGCTAAATTCGGTCAAATAACAGTTACGAAGTATAAATCATGAGAAAGCAGATGTGCTGCACATGGATAGCAAGCCGATAAGACCAAGCCGGATTGCGGAATGTTAACCTCAAAAACGGCCATTAAGTAATAAACTTATCAAAACTACAGGGCTTCTACCGTCTGTTTGACAGATATTTTTGGGAATAATTTGGCTATTTTTAACCGGTTTATTTAATTTCGAAAATAAACCTCCTACTCGTCGTGAGATATTTAAATCACCACGTGAGCTTCGACAGGTAGAGAGAGTATGGTCAATTCCGCCGGTGGTTTTGGTAATACTGAGTTACTGCTAACAGGTAAATACTCACCATTAGCATCCTTTTCGGAGCGTTCTTGCTTAATCCATTTAAGTAGATAAATGAAAATTATAACACCGAGTCCGATAAAAATCGTAAGGGCTACAACCGGACCGATTAGCCCGTTCAGGTCGGCACCTTCAATCCCGCTACTCATAATTGAGCAATTTTTCTGTTTTTTTGTCAAAAGTTGAACCCAAGAAAAACAAATTATTTTAACCTCCCCAAAACAACCACAAAGATCGGGCTCGCGCTTCAAGCTGTAGCGTCTGAATCGCTTCGAATGCAGTTGGAATTGATCACTCGCGTTGGCGCCAAGTAACTTGCGCGTGAATTTTGAACTTGCTGATGATTTTTCCTACTTTTCTGCCATTTATTTCGCATTCTAGCACAATTAGAGGTGCGAAAATGATTCAAACCCATTCGCGATATTAAGACGGAAAAACTGGGGGACCACTGGAGCTCCTTTGACTTAAATGAGACACGAAATTCAACTGGAAACTTGAACGAATTGTTTGGCGCTTTTCACTTCGCGGGCCCCTCCGCAGTTGGGGGGATTAGCACATGGTGCACCCAATACAAGGTTGCCTGTACTTCCTAATTATCGCTAATCATCAGTTTGTTAAGTTAGCAAGTCTCAATGAGAACAGTGCAGCTGAGAAACAGCTCAATATAGTCGTTTATATGAAGAAACGTGTATAAGCAACCAACGAAAAAACATAGCTGCAAATAAAGAGGAAAATAGTATATTAAAGTACAAGAGGCGAAAGTCAAAGTTTTGCTAATGCTTGAAGTTGCAGTCTTGCACGCAGCTGCACGGGTCTTCGACAAGCATCTCGCGAACCGTGTACTATTTTTCTTGATCATCGCTGGAAACTAGCTGGGAAAAGTATAAGGTTTAGAAAAAACGGCTTTGAAAATATTAAAACAGTCAGCTGACCGTCAGTAACAAAACATTAAGCTGTCAGCGTGCGCGGCGAAAGTTCTTACTTTCCACACGGGATGAAGAAAATTAAAAAATCTATAATGGGTAAAAGTGATGCTTTCGCTATCGAAAACAGTGGCGAAAGTGCGTAGGTACTTTCCACCAGGGAATCAAGAAAAGATAGAAAACTATACTCACTCAAAGTTAAGTCAATGTCAAGCCAAACTAACCCTACAATTCGACGACACTGAAACAATTTTTTATAAATAATTGTGGTCATCGACCTATTTTTCATATTTCTGACAAATGTCACGTTTTCGACACGTTGCTTTAGCGCCTGCTCGACCACAATTAAATAACTTTGCCAGACTTCGATGCTGCGCACTTGTAATGAGATTTTAGCTCCCGAATTTTAAAAGCGATAAGTTTCTGTAAAGAAATGTGATGTATGTATGTAAAAAATAATTTAATATATATGAATTATACAATTTGCCCCAATATGATCAAAAATCTGTAGAAAATGCTTGTAAAAGTAACACTATTGTACATCATAATATATTACGACTTAAGTTTCGTTAATGAACTTCATAACTTGACAAAAACGCTAAAACAGATTTAATGCTTCCTGAAAAACGGAAATAAACATTATATGAGCATGCATGAAAAAACGAATATTTATTTTAAAATAATGGAAATGTAATGATTTCAAACTGTTTACTCAAAAGCTATGCTCAAAGCATGACTCATTGCCATCGGAAATGGTAAACTTTTTGAAAGTTTGAGGAGAAAATTGAACTATTTTTAAGAGGCATAAAAGCTGAAGAATGTGTTATATGGGAATTTATTTATAAACGAAACAACTGAACCTAAATTTGCTCAAATAATTTTTATGGTTTTGTTAGCTTATCTGAAGAGATGTTTTCAAATAATTATTTCACAATTTTATTTGCAGCAATTATTATTTTTTAATACACCATCTTTAATTCCGCAGCCCATAATATAGTGAAGAAGAGGGTGGACAATTAAAAAGTGTTCTAATAATACGACAATTATTTTAAAGCATGCCTCCAAACAAGCTCAGGGAAAAAGTCCTTCCAGGAAATTGCAGGTTTTTTCGAATAGGTTTTTCAGAAAGAAATCTATCAAGCTTTGAAACAAATCAAAATGCACAACTTTGCCCTAATTTTACCGACTTAGTATCTCTTACAGCTTACGAGATTCTAATGTTAACATGTCGAATTTCCAGCATTTTTTTACATTTTTTCCAAATCCAAACCAGATGATTAGAGATTTGCAGCAAGCAGCTGTAAAACCTACTCACAGGCTTGAAACTTCACAATTAATAACTTGTTTTGATAGGAATCTTCTTTTTGAAGAACAAAATTGAACTAACTGACAAAAATCTCACAAATCAACATAAACATAGTAAAGGTTTCTTAGCCGGACAGAATCCGGGAATAAACCGTGGTTGAAGTTTAGTAAAAAAATGCCCGAGCCACTGCAAACAAAATTTGGAAGCTTACCAAAATTGATTAATCCTTATGTAATGGACACGATGCAACGTTCCTTGAATGTATAAAGTTAAACATTTGTGCAAGATTTTTCCTTTTACTAAGGCTTTACTAAGACATTACGAATAAAAATAATAATGTGATTAAGTTTAATTTTTACTGTTTTAATTCCCATTAATCCGGCAACAACGCTCATTGTCTCCTATAATTTTGAATTGGTTAAGATGACGCGCCTCAGTTATGAGCACTTGGATTTACTACTACAATTTACTACGACTCCGCGACTCGAATTCTGGGATTTCACAATTGTCACGGTTTTATCAATTTTTCAGCATTCCATTGCCGCAAACATTTTAAGTGATCCTTAAATTGCTCCTTCTCAGTTGTTTTTTTTTAAATTGATTTCCCATTTAATCGTACCTACCTAATGGTTCACGTGGCGATTATAAGGTTCACTGGTATAGAATTGATAATTCTAACAATTGACATGATTTTTTTCTTAATCAGCCACATGTGTTTCTGCAATTTTAGCATATTCACTTCAAGGTAATTACGAGCTGGAACTGGTTAAGATGATGACAAAATTTCATGTTCCATTGTTGCTTAAAAGAGTTTAGTTTTGCTTGATTTGTTTTAGGTTTGCGGGTCTTTTTATTGTATGTGTATTTTTGTATTATATTATTATCGTTGTTGATGCAATTCTTTTGTAAATGTGTATCCGTTTTTCTTCCTTTCGCTGTAAGTTTAAGCAAGTTTTATAAAGTTTTCTGTATTCTGGCTAGTTATTCCAAATACAGGGTGTCGCAATAAGGATGGTAAGCGGCTGTATCTTGGAAACTATGTGTTGTAGTGATCGAAAAAAAATTTATAACCAACTTGACGAAAAGAATTTCCTAGAAATTATTTTCAAATTTCTCCAATGACCACTAGATGGCGTAATTGCAAACGGTATTTTAAACAGTCGATTTTATACAGGAATTGCCCCTATAAGTGAAACATCTAGTAAGTTTAGTCAAAAGATTATATAAAACCGTACTACTTTCCTTATGAACTTTTTCCCAACTTGTCAAATAAAGCGTTGGGGGCGAGTCAAACCGATAAATTCAAAGAAACCTGTAACTCCAAAACGGCTCTACCGATTTCAAAGTTTTTACTATCAGCTGAAAGAGCAATAAAAACTCTACAATATGTGATAACAACAACCTTACTAATTTTTTTACGCGCATTCGAAAGCAAAGGAAGAAATGAACCAAACCGCAAAAACCGCATCTCAAAATTATTTCTGGATCCGATTTAATACTTGAAAATAATAAGGGTTGCTAATTCAAATAATTAAAGTAGGAATTGACCCTATAAGTGAAACATCTAGTAAGTTTCAAAATAGTGCGAAAAATAAAACCACATGTTTTTCTTTCAAAGCCTACTTTAATTATTTGAATTAGACAACCTTTATTATTTTCAAGTAGTAAATCGATTCCAGAAATTATTTTAAGATGCGGTTTTTGCGGTTTGGTTCATTTTTTCCTGTGCTTTCGAATGCGTATAAAATAACTTGATGGAAGTATTTGAAATTTTTGTGAAAAATTAGAACAAATTAATTTTTTCGGACAGCGGATTTTTCGAAAATGATTATTCCGCCCCCTTATTTGACAAGTTATTAAAAAGTTCATAAGGAAAGTAGTACGGTTTTTTATGATCTTTTGACTAAACTTACTAGATGTTTCACTTATAGGGACAATTTCTGTATAAAATCGACTTTTTAAAATACCGTTTGCAATTACGTCATCTAGCGGTAATTTGAGATATTTTAAAATAATTTCCATCAAATTCTTTTCTTCAAGTTTGTTATCAATTTTTTTTCCGATCACTCTACAACACATACTTTCCAAGATACAGCCGCTTACCATCCTTATTGCGACACCCTGTATATACAAATTATATATTTGAAATACATATGTACAAAGTAGTTTTTAGATTTTTTTTCTTCATGTTTAGTGACATTTTCATTAATTTTGTCTGTATTTTGAACATGAAATTTTCAATTTATTTTATATAATAACGAATAACGTTTCAACAATGGGTGAGGAAAAAGATATTTTCTACACAGTTAAAAAATGTTCAAAAATTATTTACAGTGTACAATCTATAATTGTATTTAATTTATTTGGAATAGTGCAATGTCAGATTTGCTCATTGCTTGCATTTACCTGTAAGAATACAGAAAAGCAACCTTTTTTAAATAAATTTGCAAAAAAAGTAAAATTTTCCGTTTTTCCTCAAGTCGCTACATAATAAAATGGATGAAAGTGCGCCATAATTTTTTTATGAACTTTTAATATACCACACGTTACGTCTATGCATTTGATTTACTTTACTTTCTCTTGGAATCTAGATTGAATATAATTTGGGTTTAATCAATCACCTAGGTATCTTTTAATGCGAGTAGTAAATGACTGTTTGATAAAGTACTTATTAATTTATAAATTCAACGCTATAAGGGTTGTTTTATGCCTTTTCATATTGGACAATATTTTAATATTCTATCGAGGATATCGTTTTTCTGTTAACTTAAATGTGCGAAATTGTATCAATAGTTACATTCGAAAGAAGATATTAATAATTTTACAAAAATAAACATTAAAACTTAGTAAGATTGATGTATAGATATTTGAGTCATTTCTTTTGAAAGTGGCGTAAAAGTGTGTGTTGAATAAAAATGAATACAATTTACTATGTACATTTATTAACAAACTTAAAAAAATCTATCAAATGTCATTGTTTTTATTATTAACATGACTATTTAGTTGTCGGTTTTTTTGTCGTTTATTATTTAAAATAAAGTCACTGTACAAAAAATAGTAATCTATCGTATTTTTTCACTTATATTGAAAGAGATGAAACGTATTATTATGTTTAAAACTATTAAGCTATTAAGTGTTAGTACGTAGGTAATGAACATAAGCAGAAAACAAATTCTAAAATAACATAGCGAAAGCAATTCTGACAAAAACAATTATCATTTAAATAAATATTTTTAAAGAGAGAGAATCATACAACTGATGTTGAGTTCAGATG